TTTTTTTAAAAAAAAATTTTAAATTAATTAAATTAATAAAACTGCTGTTCAATGATTAATAACGTGAAAATATTTCTAGAAATAGTAAAATTATATTTGTGTAATGAAATCAGTAATCATCTACTATAACGAATAATTCGTTAATGCTATAACAAATTATTCGTTATACATACCGCATAATTTGTTATAACGTTAACGAAGATTCTTATAATGAAGTCCTGATCGGCTGGATCAGTAACTTCGTTATATCGAGGTGTGACTGTATAAGGGTTATAGGGTCAGGAGGACTGATTTATCAGTCTGATATCATTTATTAATTTTGTTTTTTCGTTCGAGACAAGATATAGCATATAGAATATATCACGAAAATGGTACCCGATCAAAAGCATTCATTTGATAGTGCACTTAGCAAGCAGAAAGTTATCAGACGTACAGAAAAAACAGCCCAGTTATTTAAACTGGATGAGCAGAATGTAAGAGCATATAAAGCACTTTTTGGATAGATTTGAGCATTAGAAAAAAGACTAGAAGATTATTAAAAGGAAGGTCAATTTATTGGAAGCTGAATTGGAAGATCTAGACGAATATGTAGATAGGGAGACTGTAGTCGACTTAATACAAGAAAAAGTTCCTTCACTGATTGGTAAAAAAGGTAAGGCTTCATGCTGTTTCTTCTATTTGTCTGAATCCTCTGAAGATTCTGATTCAGATGAGATAATTAAAAGGTCCCATTAGGTATCAGATAAGAGAAAAAAGGATGTTTTTCATAAGCAATGAAGGAAGGCACAAGCAAGAAAGGTTAAGCGAGTGGTAGTTTAAAGAGATGAATCAGACACTTTACATATTTTTTGATCAAAGATAATTGAATCAGATAAATTATTAAGTATGGCTAAAAATTTGAGGAATAAATGATGCAAGATAATAGGTAAGTTCACTACTAACCTTATGCAGTATTTGCCATTATGCAATCTAGTCAAATATGAATACACATATGATAGGGCCACTGGCTTTATCACTGTCAAGAATATAAGACAGGATAGAGTTGTAGGCGTATTCGATTACTTTGAGCTGAGTGAATATCTAGAAGTCTAATCCAGCTCAGAAAATTTATTTTTCGATTAAAGATACAGCATATATTATTTATAACACATACAAGTATTTTTAATATATACCAGAACTATTAGAACAAATTTTATATTTCTTAGTGATAGATAAGTCACTATATCCTACTCTATTTGTTTGCTGGCCTTGGTACAGATGTGATGCTCCTATTTTATAGAAACACATTGAGTTAAAGGAAAATGACTTTTATCTCAAGCAATCTTTTTTGAATGATTATAATTACTGTAAAGATGACCGCTCTCAATTGAAGAAATTCATAAAATTAGTACACAGGAAGCAAAAGCCAGTTTATTATTCAGATGTAACTCACCTTGAAATTTCTTACTACCATTCACTTCGGGATGAAAAAATCATAAGCATTGTGTATTCATGTCCAAATATAATTCATTTGGATTTCAAAATTAGCATAGGATTTAGTAATAGAGTATTAGAACTAATAGCAGATTCATATTCAAATTTGAAGTATCTCAATTTGTGCAATAATCAATCAGATGGTTATAGGATCTTTCATGTTCGAGAAGTAGATAACGGAGGTCTATGGAGAATCACGCAGTCATGCCATAAATTAGAATATTTAAATATTGCTTATCGTACAGAGATTACTGAACTATCAATTTGCGGTATTATTCGTTTCTGCTCAGGGCTCCAACATCTCAACCTTAGTTATTACGAAGTTACTAATGAGATTATCAAGGAAATTGCTTGTTCATGTCTTAATTTAAAATACCTTAATCTGAAGGGTACGATAATATTAGCAAAGAAGCTATAGATCAGCTAAATCCAAATATTTATGTTGAGAATTTCAACAATGTGACCAACCCTGATCTTATTTTCGCATTCAGTGATTATCTTAGACAGGCCAGTACTGCTCATCAGAATTTAGCACGATCCATTTTAGCTAATGCTTCAAATTTTCAAATTTGAACAGAACTGAAATGGGACAACATGTCAGATTTTTCCATCAGAATTCAGTTCTATCTCAGATGTGCCGATGATATAGAGCTGGTGAAAGAATACTAGCCCCAGAATGGTTTAGTACTCTACCGATCTAACTAGTCTGAAGAAGTGATCACCAGCTCAGAAGAATTTGCTGAGCCTTAATACATGTACTCATGTACGACAAAAATAGGCAATCACTAGACAGGGTTCGTATAATATTAATCTTGCATATATATTCAAAAAGAAAATATATTAATCTTTATTCTTTATTTTTTTCAAACAAACATGAGAAAAATATGAAAGAGCGTCTAATTGCAACATAGGACTTACCCTAAAAGCAAATAGTGCTGACAAAAGCATATTTTATGAAAGGCTGAGGGACTTGCAATTTCGAGATTACCAGGCATAAAACTAAGTAGAGGTATGAGGATTCCGTTTACATATGCTTTTTTTGGCATCATACGATAATGCTAATCATTATTTTTTTATCTTCTTAACTTTTTCTTAGTAAGATATAAAGCATGTAGGGGTATATGGAAGTTTAGCCAACTTTTTGCAAAAAACATTCCCATAAAATAACACAAAAAATAAGGTATGTATATGCCAGAAATTATGTATGGAAGCGAAATGTTTTTCTCACTATAGGCCTTATAATTTAGGAAAACAAGATGATGAATACTAATTACTTAGAAGTTACCATTAAAAATAGTAATAATAAATTCGTAGTCAGTACTTTTCAGACTTGCGGTATTGATAGACTCAAAAACTACGTCACAGGAGAAATTAATACTACTCACTTTGATCTCTATAAAATAACGTACATCCAAAAATCTAATGGATAGGAAGGACACACTTCTTAATTATTTTGATACTGTTGATGATAGTAATCTAACAGTCGTTGTACATTCCACCACCCCCAAAATTTTCTCTAATAAATTGTTAGAAAACTTTTATCTGTTTTTTATTCACAACATGTATCAGCAATATAGTCACAATTTTTATGTATTTTAGGCTGACTTCTGGCAATGATTTATTTCATAAATAAAGTATTATTTTACCAGAACATGAAAAATGTGTCACATGTAATGATGTAATACCTATGCGACATAAAATATATATTAGCGCTTGTTTTTTCCCATCCCAGAATTTTATCTCACTCCGAAAAGTAACACTATTTTTTTTTGTCCAAGCCTAATAACCATATAAAAACGCTATATCTAAGCTGAACACAACTCTTACTTGGTTGAAAACTGAGATATAGAAACCCTTATCGATTTTTTGAAAGAACAGAACCTCAAGCTCGATGACGATGACTTGGGAATACTTCGCAATGAAAAGATTACTGGCTTCTCCTTTCTTGCTATGACCGAAGAAAATTATATAGTTATGAATTTAAAGGTGAACAGCAACACTTCTCACAAAAGAAGCTAAGACTCTCAAAGAAAAGCCAAAGCGTGCATTCTCCTCATACCTTAGCTTGAGTGAGGTGTTAGCAGAATATAGTCTCGACTCTGATGATATAGATTCCATCCCTTTGTTTGAACTGCAAATTCACGAGATTCAAGATGATAATGAGATCTTCAAGCGTTGCATGAAAGAAATTTTGGGTAGATTGTGTTCCTATGGAACTTTACAGCTAGACAGCGTAGAGGCTATGTATAATGAGTATGTAGTAGCACTTCTTCATGCTTCCATCCATATTGTCATGAATATAATAAACAAGGAGCTTAGCATACGTCCTCAGTATGGAATAGTTGGCGAAGAAAATTGAAGCTGAGTTGATTATGCAATTAAGGTAAAATTTTTTGTTACTCAAGCTTATTGCAATTATGTTAATTAACTTATCACTAATACAAACTATGTAAATATGAGAGTAGGAGGTCGAAGACCTTATCAATATCACAGAGGATAAATAACATAAGGTTCCTGTAGGCTTTGCTCAGAACATCAAACAGCTTAAGAGTGCATGTGAGACGAATAAGAGGAAGAGAAAGCGAGGCGATGATGATAATTTTGATTACCTCTATGGTATCATCACATCAGGTCAGGACTAGTATTTACTTCTATATAGCCCCAGAAAAATATCTAAGGCAAGTGATACTGTGTATTTGACCAAATTTATAAAGAAAGTTTTAGACTCAAACTCAGAAGAATACCAGTCATTGTGTAAGAATGTGAGAAAGATTTTGGGCATTATTATGGGTTTGTTAAAAGATAAGGCATGTGTAGAGGAAGAACCAAAAAGGAAGAGGCTTAGAATAGAGGATTATTGTTCAAAAAAATAATTAGCCGTAATTAGCATAGATATCATGTATCCTGAGCAAAGTCCTGAATATTTGTATTTATTTTTTACATGTAATAATAAAAAATTTTTCTTGGCAAATTTTGCTGACCTCAGGTCAAGAAAAATCACATGATTTTTTATCTATTATTATACTAATTTGAACTTTTGAATTATTTCATTTTATGTAAAAAATATTATCAAACATGCAATCTGAGATTGATTCGTTGAGAGAAATAAATTCAAAGCTCTTAACTGAGATTACTAAACTTAAGAAGGAGAATGCTGAAGTCAAGGTTGAGAATGTGAAGTTAAAGCTTGCTTTGGAAGAATATGAAGCTAGATTCACAAATCTAGAACAGAGAGATGAAGAAAAGGCCACCCTTATTATTAAATTGGATGATGATATCAAGGAGATCAAACAATTTTTAGCTAGTATTAGTTCTGTCGAGAATTCTGACATACCTATTTGCATAGAAACTAAGTCATTGGAGGAAAAAGAGACAGATACTTTCTTAAACAAGATGCATAAGAAAGCGTTGATAACGAAATTAGGAAATGCAATAAAGAGAAGAAACTTCAGCGAGAATCAGCTATCTAGGAGACACCTTTGATTTCTCAGAATACTACATCTAACTGCTATGAACGAAAGAATAAGCAGGGTGCTTCAGCCTGTGAAGACTTAATTAAAGAAATATCTACTAGTATCAGCTGTAACGCATCTATCTAGAATTAGCTGAGAGATATTTCGCATGACTCCATATCCTTTCATGTATATGAAAGAATTTCACTAATCTCAGATCAAGGAAAATCAGATATCTTATAAAATATAGCTAATTTATATGAAAAAGCTTATGATGCAGAAGATATATCGATAAAAGCTAATCAGGTGGAAATTTTATACTAAAGTAATTTTATTATAGCATTTAATAAAAGTATTGATGAAATCATGGCTAGAGATAGAGTAAGCATGAAAAAGGCCAAAGGATTAATTTATAATTTTATACTTACGCAGAATCCTGATACTAAGCGTTCTACTCTATATAAGAAAATTGAAAGAGCTAGAAAGATTTACAGATTAACTGAAAAAATAGGATTAGATAAGGTCAAATACATAAAAACATATAGTGCGAACACTATTTCAAAATTTACTAACGAAGAAATTCAAAGAGTCATAGACCACTTTACCAAAAATCCAATATGGAATTCACTGATGATCCCAAGGATGGAAAACAAGATGACGGTCAAAGTAATTCATCAGAGGCGCAAGAGGAAAGCTTAGATTCAGCTGAGGTAAGTGTCTCAATTACACCTATTCCTTTAACACATATCTCTAATTCTTCAGATGATTCCTCTAAAATTGATCTAGTCAATTTGCCTAAAGCTGAAGTAAGTATATCATCCACAACTTCTTCTAGTCAGATAAATAAATCTAACAAATCCAGACTTTCGATTTCTATTTTACTTGAAAACCCCAAAGAGAAACAAAAATATATTATTGGATTAGTGTTAGAGCATTTTCCTTCTCTATCTTTAAGCGATAATAGTAAACTTGGTAAGTGATTTAATCTTAATAGTTCAACACTCTGTCCATTATGTAATGGAGAGCATAAAGAAAAAAGTATATAGAATGATATAAGAGGTGAATGGGATACTGGTGAATATTACGGAGAACAAATTTATTGGCTCAAATGCAGAGAAGCTCTTAATCCTGACATCCCAATAGTATCTGTAAAAGCATAGACGAAAACTCCATCATGTGAGACTGATCACCTGAAATGCGCAGAAGATATTGGTAAAATTCTTGCCAAAGAATAGGGGTTGTGTGATGTAAGATTGGCATATATTTTTCGCATGATTTTTTTCAGCTTGATTTGCATTTATTTTTGTATCATATCTCTTTCTGATTCACGTTAATATTATATTAACAAAACAATATTTGAATAAAGATAATTTTTTTGGCAATTATTATTTCGCATATAGGATTGGAGATATCTATGCTAATTATGAAATCATCCCGGCTCCTTCGATCAAAGATTTTTCAGGAGAAAAACTTTCCTATTATTTCTATACATTAATCCCTAAACATATTTCATAAAACAGTTAGCTTATTTCCCACAGTACTAAAGGTACAAGGGAGGCGATTTGCAAGGAGATTAATGAATGATGAAATGCTATGCGTAATTGCTAATGAAAATCTGGAAATATCTTACTCCAGCAACACTACTAGGGCTATAAAAAAGCAAGAAATTATATAGTTATTTTTTTGGAAAACGATACCATGGAGAACCAAGAGAGCTCAGCTAATACAGGAGTTCCATTTGATGTGACAGAGATCACCACTGATGATATCAATACGGAAGGTATTATAAACACTTTTACCCAAAGTAGAGATATTTATGAAGTACAACCAAAATGCAATAAAGTCTTAAAATTACTCGTATTATATATATTGAAACACCTCCCAGATGATATTCTTCATGAAGAGTCAGATTTTTTGTTGATTAAATCTAATGAAGCTATTCCAGATTATGGGCCATGTATGGAATATGATACTCCCATTTTAACAGAAGACCCACCTAAATTCTTCATGTTAAACATTTGTAGTGATATGGTCCACCAGACTTATATGAGAGGAACTAATAAGAGAGGAACATTATATTGCTTATATGACATGAAGGAAGATAGTGATCTATTATTGCTTTTAGAAGATCTTGAATTTGATGATGATGATGATCTGTTTGAGAAAGCTTGCAATAAGTGTTCTGAAATAATTTCTAAAGTGCCTCTATTAAGGCTTGATGCTTCTGTATCTACACCAGTCGTACTGCTATCATACAGACATAAGACTCATTTCGAATGCATTAGTAATAAAAGTAAGCTGTGTCCCAAATGCCCGTCAATTGATGATCTTGAAAAAGAAAGATATTATATTTCACTTACTTTCAATGGAGCATCTAAAAAAAGGAAGAGAAAAGATGATTTGCGTAAATCTACTAGAGGTATAAAAGCACAAACCATAATTTGTGAGCTGTCCATCCGCTCAGCTAGTGAAGTATCAATTGGTGCATCTCCTGAAGATTCTAACATGAGAAAAGTTTCGAATCAATTTCATAAATTATATTATAAGATTGATGATGCAGAAAAAAATAGGAATCGGACTATTAGAGATTTAGTTTGTTTCTATTTTCGATTTGGAAAAGCCTTATCAGAACAATTAGCTATACTTTTGCAAAGCAATTCTCCACAAACGGCACATACAAAGCTGAACAAAGAAATTAAGGAAAAACTTCCAAAAAATGCAAATAATGGTATGATACGCAAGAGAACAGATACAGCCAGAAAAATTTATGACATCTTTAGCGCGATAGGGGAAGATAAGATTCTTCATATCAAGTCTTTTACTGCATATAGTTTTTTGGATTTAACGAGAAGTGAGGTCACATACATCATAAAAAATTTTGAGGAATAACTGTTATTACTGTGCTACAGTCAAGTAATACTGTCTTAACGCTAGGACACCCTCAACACTTATATTTTGGTCTTTATAGACTTTCAAATGTAGATTTTTTATACGTAGTATTGTAAAGTATGATGCAGTTAAAACAATAAAATAAATAAAATTATTTCTATATTAGGCTTTTCTCCTTTTTTAATTCATATGTATCTGTAAATGCTGTATGACTGCTTATCGAATAAATAAATCATTAGAGATCTGCAAAATAATTTGCATATACACAGCCAGTCTCGAATAAAAAATGAATCTGATATTTTATTATAATATACTTGTTATAAACTGCTATAAATCACTGAAATCTCTTAATCATTAAAATTCATTAAAAACACTATAAAACTCTGAAATTGCTATAAATCACTAATTTACTAATAAATATGTCTAGAGAAATTACTAGTATTATTATAAATGAAGTTTTAATAAAACCGTACCTAAACCTATCAATCTCCGTCCTGGATATGATATGAGATATATTAGCGCATATATGAGAAATTATGGATATGGTATTGATTTTGAAAAAATAATCAAAACAGAAAAACTATATGATTATTTATCAATTATTAGATTATGTGAAACTCCACAGCAATAGGCTGTTTGAGTAAGAGATACTGTGCGAACACTGTTAGCTGAGAAATATTGGAGCGTTTATCATGTGCACTGTCTTTATGCAGGATTTGGCGAAGGTAAGGTGAGAGATGATGGATATTACAGACCTATGATCCATAAAAGTCAAATTACTATTTGCTTCGATTGCTGAAAATTGGTAAAGATCACTGATGTAAAACCAAAAAAAACATATTTTAGCAGATGACGCAGATATGGATATGAGATTAAATCCAAGGACTTGTTGAAATATCATTAGGATAATGAATACTCTAAAGCTAAAACTGAAGATGGAAGTGTTCGGCTTATCCAAAGAGCTTATAGAAATTATAAGAAGTGGCCTGTTTCATTAGCAAAACAAGTTTAGAAGGCGGTTAGAAATAATAACACTTCTAGGGAAAAGAAGTTTCTTAACATGCCTGGTAGAAAAATTTGTTGTACTGTAAACTTGGATATATGGTATTCTATTAATGGATTATATAGACCTTATCATGTTCTGCTAGATCAATTTTATGATTATATAAGTTATTCAAAGCATAAGAGATGCCAATTATCTGATAGATTAGCTATAGCAAAAAATACCGAGCAGAAACATGCTCTTTTAAATTCTCAATGACAGAAGGGATTTTATCAGGTCATGAACAATAGCCGAAAGATGCAACCACTCTATCTTTGGAGTGATCAATCTAATATGCCTGTCAATTCTAGCAAGACTAGTTTGGGCGACCTTGCTGAAGCATATTTTGATTCTGTGCGAAAAAATGCAAGAAAGGAGATAGAGTAATAGACTTAATATCTTTCAATTCTCAGCATAATTCAATTGAGACAGTGATCGCCTAGTGTAATATACAGTGTATCACCTGCAGATATTGCCGTAAAATAGTCATAAAACGTGTCTTATAGTACGCGTCTATAAAAATGTTGTAGGACGAGATTTTTTTTATATTTATATTTTCTATCCGAATCAATATAAAGTAACCTGATAACCTGACAAAACCACTGTATGCCTCTTGATTTAGACAAAAAGGTAAAGATACAGTTACTTTAGAAAAATTTTGACTTTTTTGCACCTTTTTGTCTTTTTTTACTCCGCTATATTTTGAAGGTTGGCAAAATGATTTGAACCCCGATGATTTCTCCCTTCTCTCCATCCTGAAGTTCCGTAAGAAAAAAGATGATTTCTCGTTTAATAGAGTGGTCGAGCATACTATTGTATCAAAGTTCGTTTCATTCGTTGCAGAAAATGCAGATGAAAATTAGAGGAAGGTGGCCTCCATCCTTAACAAAGATGGTGAGCTAAAGGTTAGTCTAGTTAGGTTTATTATTGACACACATTGACACACAAAGTGGTGAAGGAATAGAAAAGAAGTTAGACGCTGTTAAAACAACCGCCTAAGTAACCTCACAACGCGTTAGGTTAACTATGGAGACTAGTTATGAAACTTCCTCTGGTAGGCTTCTTTTTAAATCTGCGGTAAGGCCAAGAACAACTCGTCTCAGTGCTAAGAACAACTCGTTCATTCATAGTTCCCAAATGTTTCACCTTGAATATATTGAAATAAGTTAGCAGACTGTAATTCACTTCTACTTTTTTAAGTCCCAGGCTCAATAAGAATCTACTAAGTCTTTCTGGTGTGACGTCAAGCTTGAGAAAATTGAGAAAGAAAAACAGTTAATAGAAAAGAAAATGAATCAAGCTGAGGTATTTATCAGTTTAACTTGAATATTGGTGCATATGAACTATACTAACTGTTTCTTACTGTTTGCAGATGCAATTTGGTTTGGATCAATCCTTAGTCGGAAATGAGGCTTAAGTTATCTTAAACAAGACAAAGTTGAGTATTTTATTGGATAGGAAAAATTCCAAGAGGAAAGCTACCCATACGGATAAAGACAGTAAAGATACATTAACATCATCCACAGAAAGATAACAATCGCTCTTCAAAGGTATTCTATTAGTGTTTTCGCAATAATTTATATTTTTACATTAAATTTTTGAATTTTTGTAGAATGAGATTGATATTTTTTTTCAAAGTCCAAATGCGATTGTATTGCCCAATAATTTGATTTTCTTTTCCAAATTGAACGGAGTGTCCCATCGAAATGAAAAGGATCCAGATTTCGATTTATTTATATCAATGATCACAAATTCCTTTTGTTTCAAATAACCATCGATGACCTTTGAAGTTTGTGCAGATTAGCATCCGTATAAGGACTTATAATGTTAGCAAGTTTTCAGGTTGAACCTCCACCACTAAAGAATACAATATGCATTGCATTTTCACAAATATCCGTAGAAATTCTGTAAAATTTTTGTGAGATATAAATAGAAAAAATATTCTCGTGGTGACCTCTACTAAAATATGAAATAATTTTTTTCTGTATAGCTAGAGGGTCTGAGTAGACATTCTTAAATATTGTTAGTTTACTTCTTTTAATATTGAACTTTTTTGGGTCTGAAATTTTATCAGGAGTGAGTGTAGAGAATGTGATATTTTTATAGTATGGCTTGAATTTATCTTGCGCAAGATATTTATAAAAGTTTCAAACAATTCCATATTTAGGCTTGTTAAGATGGTGGTCACAAAGTATCACATTATCGCATTTAACATTGCGCTCACCTATTTTAGAACTCTTTTTTTCCCAAAAATATAGTAAAATTTGTTCATTACCAGCAGGTTTAGAATCATATTCATTTTACCCGAATTGCTAACCCTACAACTATAATTTGAAAAGGCTATACCGGTGCATGAGGATCACCCTGATATTTTTTCGAGGGCTTGACTTCGTTTACTACGAATATTACGTATTTCATGATTTGATCTAATTAATTATTATATTAAAAAATAATGTAACAATTTCTCAAGTTCTGGTAATAAATGCCTGCCCAATAGATTGGTTTACCTACTTGCATCATCTAAATATCCCTTTTCGATTAGCGTATACCTGATGTAGGGAAAAAGGTCACATATGTAGGACACCGAGATAAGATATATACTTTCTTGCTTACATATGTCTCACTTTTTTTGATCTCAGGATTTTTGTTTATCTAAATCTATCTGGCCTCTCTTATGAAACATTAATTAAGACTATAGTATTAGGATCTATGATATTCAAAAGCCAATTTTAATTCTTCATTATAACCATCTAATTGCATCCTATTCAAAAAATTAGGCCTACGTGATAGGAACTTCTTACCTAGCAGATTCTCAAAAATGTATCAGCATATCCTTTCTCAAGTATGGTGACATAAAGAGCACCATTCGAATTTTTTCACAATATATTTTAATGGATATTCTCATTGGTATGATCCACTTTCGCAAGACTAAAGAAAGATGTCAAGATCTTCTCTTTAACCAGTTTTACCTAAGCATTGTTCACCACGTTTCTCAGCATATTCATATGCTTTTATTAGCTCGTTATCGGCAATTTGAGTGAAGTAAATAAATCTAGAATTGTGGTATTTCTATATAAATACATCAGGTGGATACTTGATCTTATCGGGTTTCTCAATTACTTGGAGTTCCTCAAATTTGAAAGGTCTTTTAGGATTTCGTCTCATCAAATAAGCAGTAGATTCAATAGGTTCATTTTCAAGATAGTATAAGATTGGCTGTGGCAGAGCAACTGATCTATATTGGAGCTTACGTGTCTATAAGATAAAAAGAGTTGTTATTGGAAAGAACCTATGCCTATGGTTCTCTTCTAATTCACCTGGTTTTAACAAATATCTAACTACTGTACCTTTTGTAACTTTATCTTCTCATCTTTTCCAATTGCATACTTAGCTTTCCTAGAAGGTTTTGATTCAACTTCTTCTAAAGTCATAGCACGAGCTGGAGACATCCCAATAAGATATGTCTTACTGTTATTCAAATAATCAATATATTTCTTAAGAATTTTTTTCTATAGTCTTGATCGCTCTCCGTCAGTTAATCGTCCTCTATAGCATATTGGACTTTATATATTAATTCTGCTATTCTTTTCTTAAACGCTTTAATCAAAGCCAAGCTCTCAAAACTATAAAGGTCAATAACACATATTGGGACATTGTATTATTACATCCCTCAAAAAAATGCATCCTGAAATGAGACATCACCATCAGTCATTAATAATGCTGGCTATGTGAGAGGATTAGAAGGATCCTCAAATATTTCTTTTACTGTATTTCAGATTTTTAAATTATTTCTTGATGTTATTAAGTGTGCATTCTTAAAATGTATTGCTACATCTATGATTAAAAAAGTACAAACAAATATCCTTCTACCATCCTGATCATCGTGAATGTGAAGCAGAATGTCACACTGCTGAACCTTGTTTGAAATCTTAATCTTTGAAAACTTGCTTCAGCTTTACATGGTAGTGGTTGTCGATAAATTTGATAGATATATTGATACACTAACCACTTTGCAATATTCCGCAATTTAAAAGAATATCCTTCCTTCTGACATGCATTATATAGGTTTTTGGCATTGGTATAAAAGCTAGGTATATTATAAAACAGAAGTTTACAGACTATACGAAGCTCTTTATCGGGATTTATTACAATCTGCGGTTGACTCATTCTTAAACACAATTATATGATAGTTCTATATATCATGCTTGAATAATATCATGTCAACATTTGATCCAACGTATTTACAACTCTTAAATATGAACCAGGAGATTCGTAGTGAGTTTCAAAATGAGATTTCTATTAATAAGAGTAATGAGAGAAAAATTTACTCTCTTGTAAAGAAGCTTGAGCAATATTATCAAACTATCTCATTACAGGATAATACTATCATAGTCCACGAGAAAGAGATAGAGAAATTTAAATCAGAAATATCTGATTTGCGAAAACAGCTTAGGGTCTTACAGTAGGATTTAAGACATAAAGGTAATACTAGTACTTCTCAAGATATCCATATTTTAAGGTTGAAAGAAAAGGTCGAGAAGCTTAAAGCAAGAATCTGGGTTCTCATAGATAAAAAAACTCAATAAATACTTTGGATATGGCAACGGCTGATCTTATTGCAAATATTAATGGAGGATTAGATCAAATTGAAAATCACATTAAAGGAGTTAGTACGCCTATACAGAATCCCACCAATGTTATAGATAGTATTAGAAGCTCATTAAATACTATTCAGGTTACTTTGCAAAATATCACAACTAAGCGGGATCAATTTCAGAATTTATTAAATGAAATAAATGAGCGGGAACGGGTTCTTATATAACAGTTGAGGGATATGAGAAATGAGAATCTGCGATCCCAGCAGTTATTAGACGAATCCTGAGCTCAAGTGAAAAGAACTACGAGGAAAAAAGACAATGCTCAATGAGAGCAGGACTTGACTATGTTGGCCTATAATAATGAAAGAAAATAATTCTGTCACTAAATGTTTTCTTATCAGGATAAAAATAAGCATGTCCAAGGATTATTGTGAAAAAAATTTGCTAAACAGCTATTGTATCAGCGAGATACTAACCGTCTTCAGCAAAATATCTGACAGTTGCAGACTAATGTTCAAAACTAGGTAAATAGGATGTTAATTATTATAGCAAGAAAACAAACCTGTATTGGTGAATTGCTATGTAAAAAGTTTGTTTTTCAGTTAGTGATTAGGCAAAGAGACCAAAATATTTTAAATTTGCAGGGACAAATTTTGGCATTACAAAATAACCCACCTAACATACAACATATGGCTGCTATTCATGAAATTTATCAGATGCCAGCTCCATCTTTTAGGCAAATTCCTAACTATACAGGTAAAGAAACACCAGATAAGTATATACAAAAAATATTAATATTTATGAATCTGCTAGAGCCGTAATCATGACCGCCAATAATGCTAATGCAAACACTTTATTGATGTTCAGAAATGTGATATCTTAAAATCTAAAATGGAGATAAATTTTCTCCAGTACCAGCAAATGATCCCTATATAAATGGTAATCCCCCTATCAATACACCTGTCACATTTATGATTTAGCTTCAGCATAAATATCGAGAAGTAATGGCTGAAAATACAGAATTAGTTTTACAATCACTAATACAAGAAAGATTTAACACAGCTGATTCTCCTAATGTTTACGAATCTCAAATCTGAAAACATATAGTAGGTTTTGCAGATGATCAGATATTACTAGCATTATATACTCATTTACCTCTGGATCTTCGTAATAATGTGAAAATTTATATGACCATAAGAGGCGCTGGTAACCCTGGTAACTAAACTGTGGATAATTTCTTTGCTGATCTCAGGAAGTGTTGGGTAGAATGTCAAGTTAGACCAAATATGTTTTTCCAGAACTAAATCCAACCTCAAGTCAATTATCAGGGAGCTTCTTCAGCTGATTTTGAAAAGTTAAATTCCAAAATAGTTTCTTTAGAGGTACAGTTAGCGAAATCAATGCAGGTGTATTCTAAACTTGCCTAACATTTACAGCTATCAGAAAATGTAGTTAATTCAAATAATGCTTCAATCTTTGATAGTTATATTAATCAAGAATTGGAAAAAAGATTAGGAGTAATCGAAATTAATTTAGCTAAACTCACCAAACTCGTAAGAGAAGATACTATAGATACTAAATCAGCTCAGTGTTCAGAATTCTCAGACTATAATAATGGAGGATTAGAAAAAAGATTAGAATGAATTGAAGCCCACTTAGCCAAATTTGCTAGAAAAGATACCAGAGATGCCAAAACACCTCAGCGTCAACGCTCGGAGTCCTCAACTTTTGGAGGATTAGAAAAAAGATTAGGATAAATTGAAGCCTTATTGGCTAAACTCACTAAAGATTCTAAATCCAGAAGTGGTCGAGTTCATAT